GCTCAAGTGATGTGGACAACGAAATAGCACAGGGTTGTGTTCTCAGATTGGTCAGGCTTCTGTTTGTCCAATAAAAGTCGTTGTGTGTGATTGTGTGTCATTATGGAGACAAGTCCAATCCTGCACCAATTGTGGAATGCCGCACCGCATAACAATGTGGCATCGTGGTTTGGGGCACGATTGCTTACAATACCATGTCACCTCTAGTTCGTATTTAGGGCAGTATGATGGCCCAATGGTACTTAAATGATGTGCTGAGGCCGGTGATTCTCCGCCACCTTAAGAGAGTGCCCAGTGGCCTTTATCAGAGGACAATGCTCAACCACATATTGCTCTCATCAGCCAACATGCTCTGCTGGGTGTATAGATGCCTTCCTGACCACCTTTCTCTCCTGATCTCTCACCATTCAAATACATTCGGGATGTGATTCACAATTTTAGTCAAAAACATACATAAACAACACCTCTTTAATTATGCCATCAGAAGTTAGTAGATATATATGTTGAGAAGAGGAAAAATCATAAAAGCCCAGGATTTGTCAGAATGAAGTAACAAGATGATGAAGGAAATGGGACCAAAAATGCTCTGCACATTCACCAAAATTATCAACACTATATTCAGACTGCAATATTTCACAGCGAATTGGAAGACAGCAATCATGTCCCCAGTTCTGAAGCCGGGTAAAGATCCAACTGTCTCATCATCTTACAGGCCAATAAGTTTACTTTCATCGCATAGTAAAATTGCAGAAGCGGTCATTCTTAAATGCATCCAAGACTTCGTCGAAAAAAGAATATTATGGTTCTTCAACAGCATGGCTCCCAGCAAAAACACTCAAAACGCATCAGCTCTATCATGTAACAGATCTAATTGCTGATGGTCTCAAGGGGGAAAACTTATCACTTGAGCAGTCTTCCTCGTTATATCAAAGCTTTTGATTGTGTATGGTTACAGGAATTCGCCTACAAATTAATCACTCAGGATTTCTCAGATCGCATCATAAACATCATTAATTCCTATCTATAATTATAGAAACTTTCTTGTTCATTATAGCATTACTTACTCTACATGCTGGTGTACCACAAAGTTCATTACTTGTGCTGACCCTTTTTTCACTTTATACGAATGACATTCCGCACAACCCCCTCACTACACTAGCATTATATGCAGATGACACTATGATCATCTACCAAAATGCTTGAATGGTCTGAGTAGTACATACATTATGAGAATTCATCCAAGTACTTGAGTCCTGGATGATTAAATGGAAAATTAAAACCAATGTAGAGAAATCAGAAGTGGTATTCTTCACAAATAAACGAAAAGTGGGCCTAAACATCATTATCAGTATGTATAACACTAGTAACCCCTGGGCCAAACAAGCCAAATACCTTGGTGCTATATTCGACCAAAGACTCACATGGACCCCACATCTTGCATATATTTTAAATGAGTTTTAGGGTACTAAAGCTCTACTCAACCCCTTGATTGCCCAAAACTCTGTTCTTTCAATAGAAAACAAGATATTCATTTACAGCCCATTCTCACCTATGCCTGTCTCGTCTAGGGTTTCATATGTGATTCTTAAATGAAAAAGCTTCAACAATTTTAAAATGTAACATTAAGACAAATGGCAAACTGTCAATGGTATACAGTACAAAGTCCGTAATCCGGACGTCCATTATCCGGAATGATCTATAATCTGGACCTCAAAGCCACAAACTTTTTTTTATGCTTTAAGCATGCGCATTGGGAGGATGTGTCTCCAGATATGTTAAAAAATGCTTGGCATATTAGATTTTGTAAAGAAATGTGGAGAAGCGGTAATAAGTGAAGATGATATAACAGAAGTTTTAATCCGGAATTGCCGACGGTCCCAACAAGTCCAGGTTACGGACTTTGTACTGTGTTAGGAATGATGCAATCCACAGTGAACTGAATGTTAACAAACTTGATGTATGTATTGCTAAAATTGTAAAGGAATTCTTTAAAAATATCCGCAAAGCAAATAACTCAATCCCTCTTATGGATTGCAGTTACTCTGATCGAAGTAATAGAAAATGACCGGGTGCAGTCCTATTGCATCCAAATTAATTCATTTAATTTAATCTGTATTTTACAACTTTATTAATACCTTGAATTCTTAAAAACCTGTTGTGCATTTCACTCCATGATCCCATTTCTTTTGGCAGTTAATCATCAAAATAAAGTATTCTAGATAAGCCTTCTCCCCCTCCAGTGCCTGACTAGTTTGGAAGTCACTCTCTTTTCAGCTACGTCAATTTGGCTTTCCAATGATCTGACGAGTTAGCTCTGCCTTCTCGCCCACCCTCCTAGACTTCATTTCGGAGGACTTCATTTCTAGATGTTCACTTATTCATTTAGACCTTAAACCTCAAGATGCACACTCACACCACCTTATGCCTATAATTGCCTCATGCCTCAACTACTGCAACTTTTCTTCTAGCAGAACAGTGGCTAATCTATTGCCATTATAGTGACCTGGTTTTCGCAGAGTAACTCTATCTCAAAGACTCATTCATGCTTCACATGAGAATTAGTTTTTCGCTGGTTCTCACTTCGAAATAATGACATGCTATGCCATCAAAAGCCATGTAATTGCTATCTATTTTACTCAGGATGTGGCTATTGCCCATGAGCCTGATTCAAGAGTTGCACCTAAGTCTTGGAATGTGATTGGATGTCATATGCCATTGCCGCATTCAGAAGACGAATTGTGGCAAGACAGGGTATGGAAAGCCTTCTTCAGGACACCATCCATAGTCTTATTAACTCTGTACCTAGAGGTATTGCTTTGTGTATTGCTGTCCATAGTGGTCCTACAACCTACTGAGATGATGCTGTTCTCTCTCTGTATTAAATATATAATTTCAAAATAAAGATCACTTATTGTTCATTGCTCTCTGTTTTCTGAGTTTCATTACTTTCTGACCACTCCTTCTTGGTGTTACATTTTCAATGTCAGGTACTATATATGAACACCCATCCCCCATTGCCCAGTTTAAAAGTCCTCATCTAGCCTTTATTTTTGTATTCATTATTCCTAGTCATATTCATTCAGCTATAGAAGTGTTTTAAATGATGAAAATATTCACGTTTTGGCAATGTAAAATTTAAAAAAATAAATTTTGGACAAATAACAAAATCTAACTGTTAATATAGTCTCCCAGTTCCTATACTTATATTTGGGAAAGTTTTATACTCATTATGAAAAAATAAAGTACGTGAAGTTTAATTGCCATGCAGTAAAAATTGACTGTGATTTTGAATTTCCAAATGTGCAATTTTTTATGTCATTTCCAACTTGCCTTGAAAATCTATTTAACTAAGAATAATTGGAGGAAATAAGTTTAAACAAGGTGCAGCAAAAACTGTGTATAATTTAATAAGCCATACAACAAGGAAGTCTTATGGTGTCCACATCAGATTTTTTAAAAGTTTCATCAGATTTATTTATGAAGGAGTTATTAACATGCTGTGTGACAGTCTCCCAAGAAGTAAACACCAGGCCATTCAGAGAATTTTGAACTGACCTGAAGAGATAAAAGTCTCAGTGAGCAAGGTGCTAGTGAATATGGAAGATGGCAACATATATCTCACCCATTCTCTATAACTTTTTATCTGGCATTCATGTAAATGTGAGGCTGAGCATTGTATTGATGGAAGACAGCACCTTGAAGATGGATCAATTCTGGGCACTTTGCTTTGATTTCTGCTTTTAAAACTGTGATTTGGGAGGTTTTTTTTTTTCCTTCTGAATTTGTTATCTAATTTAGTGGCGAAAATTCATAGTACATAATTCCTTTGTAGTCCCATCATACATAAAGCATTACTTTTTTGGGATGCAACTGCCTTTTTGAATTGTGGCAAGACATGTTTAAAGGTTACTAAAGGTGGTTCCTTTTACTTCCTCATGATCTTTTTCTTCTAACCTATTATATAACATCTGCTTCTAATTTCCAGTAGTGGGTTGTTTAAAAAAAGTAGTTTCTTTATATTTTTTCACCAAAGAATTACATGCTAAAACTTGAGTAAGTGTATTCAATGTCAATTTTTAATTTAATGTTTTGTGTTTTGGCAAGTGTCTTGATGTAAATAGATTTATTTGTGAATAAAACCATAAGAAACAATAACAATATTCTGCTGTGTTAGTGTCAGGTTTCCTTACATTGTAGCAGTTTCCTAAGCAGTCATCTTCAAATGATCATGTTTTAGAATTTTTGGAATATTTATTTATCTGATAGTTCCTAAACTGTATAAATTGTATTTTCACCAATAACTAATATAATAGTCCTTGTTTACAGAGGATGGCTATCCAGAACAGGCATCATATTGAAACTGAAATTCCATGCTTATACTTCCCAAATCACCCTTTAACTGTGTTATCAAAAACAGGACTTTTTCCATATAAAGTACAAATTTTATGAGCAGTCTGACTAGCATTCTCTCTCTTTTTTTTTTTTTTTTATTTATTTTATTTTATTTTTTTTTTTATATAAAAGATCATAATACGACAAAAAAGTTCTTTTTCCATCCTTAGTACTGTTCTGAAAGGAAAGTTATGCCGTAACATATAGTAGAACTGTGCAGAAAAGAACGTATTTAAATATCTGCTTCGTCGAGGTCACTCCATATCAACAGTAACAAAATAATTTTTAAAAAGTATTTCAGTTTTAAAGTTGCAGAACTTTTGGATGACCCATGACATATTTTATCCAAAGGCAATTAAATTTATTGAACCATCAAAAAAGATATGCTTGAAGTATTTTAAGTTTTAATTGTTATCATATCAACTTACTGATTAAGCAAATGACCCCCCCCCCTCTTAAAAAACTTTCAGATTCCAAGTTGCCAGCCCCAGAAAAGTTGAAAAACCTTATTAATTTCATTGTTTTTAATTTCTTGTTATGTATATTATGATGAAATAAAAAAGTGTTTTTGTAGAAAATGCATTATAGTATTGTAATTTTGTATTTAGGCATCAGAAACGTTATTTCGCATGTATACTGCAAGGGGTATTGTGAAGCCCATTCCTAATGGTGAGGTAAGTTGTACGTTTTCATAGACATAGGCTTTTCTAAGACATAGGTTATTCCCTTTTTAAGTATATAATGCTTTAAATTATTATTATTAAATTTTGTCTGCATTTTAAATTTTATGCTTTTAATAAACAAGATGTATAATGATGTAAAGTAGTGTTCTAGGCCTGGCATTTTGATTTACCCTAATTCTAAACTTTTAATTTTTGCCTGATTGGTTTCTCTGTTTCTGTGCACATGCATGCATACACATGCACACATTCACACACACAGTCTATATATATCTAGTATACTATATAAAACCTAATATATACTATATATAATTTCAAGACAAAAACCTAACTCATCTTGAAACAAAACAAATTTAATAAAATATTAATACATGTACATTTTCTTAATATGACTTCATTCATTTCACTATATTAAAAAAAAAAAAAAAAAAGGAAAGGGGGGGGAAAGAAAGTGGCTAGTGTTCCATCATTCTATTCATGCTGTAAACAGTTAAATTAGATAGTGCATGAGAAAAATGTTAGAATGTTAGATTATGGAGTTAGAATCTCCCATATTGCCTTTCTGTTATGCATCGACCTCAATGACATTATTCTACTCTAAGCATCATAAATCATTGGTCATCTTACATCATCATTGTCTATGGTAAAAGGAACCATCATCATGAACAAACCGAAACTTGAAATGAAATATGAAGGGAGAGGGGAAGATTGTGTGCTAAGGACAATATTGAAAGGAAACATCATAATTGTCCTTTATCTTTGCAACAATAGCATTATCAACAGTCTCTTCTATTTTTCAAAAATCTTCATCTAAAATGAAAAACTCTGATTTTAACAATTGTGGGAAACTTAATTTATCTTAAAAAATAAAATTAATTGAAATAAAAGTCATCATTACGTGAAAAGTCACAGTTCAGTTATCAGTTGTATCAGTTTAGGTCTAAATGCCTTAATTAGTATTATTCTAGCTGTCTGCTTCTTCTTGAAATGTGGAAGTATTCTGTTTGCCAACTCCAGACATTAAATTAAGAGCTGATTTCGCTTTAGGAAATCTTGTTTCTAGGACTAAAGGTTCTTCAAGGGAAGATTTATACCTCTTATATGACCTTGTCTCAGGCTTAGTTGATTTGTAAGTTGAAGTTGCACTAGATGGTGTTGGAAGAGCTTCAGCACCCGATAAGTCTTCATAATATTCCCTGTCATCAGCATTAGAAATTTCTTGCAACCGACAAATTTTTTCATCAGTGATACACGTTTTTTCCCCCCAGTACTGCTGTTTAGCAAATAATCTTTTCTTCATCATTTCCTTCATGTGATCCTTTTCTAAAGCTAGCTTTTCTTGCATTTTCAATTTAACATCTTGAACTTCCCTTTTTTTTTTTTTTTTTTTTTTTTTTTTTTTTCCCGCTCAGACAGGATTTTATCTTTGATGCTCATCTGAATTTTTTCAGCTTTACCTAATTCTTGGCATCTGGTAGTTGTTTCTGTACCATTTCTACAGTCTGTTCTGATACAGAAAGTTTTCTTTCCAAAGTTCTAAATTGTTGTTCACGAGCATCCAAATCCATTTGTAAAATAGCTTTTTCTTGTTTTAGTTGGACACTTTCTTTATGTATAATTGGTAAATGTATGGGTCTCAAAGAAATAGGTTGGTCATCTTTTAAAATAATATTTACTTCAGTATTAGTAGTTTCTTCTTTGGCTTGTCCTCCTTCAGGTTTTTCCAACATACCAGAATGCAGTTTTTCAGCTGGAAATTTCCCTTACTGTTTATTCTTTTTGTATTGTTGATATTTCAATTTCACCAGCATTATCTTCAACTAGTTTCTCATGCTCTGAATCCTTTTTATTTCCCCTTAGAATATTTGGCCCTGAAGCGGGTTTTTTTGGAATCATTAATTTCTTTTCTTACTCTCTTTGATTTCCTGAAATTTATTAGGTGGTTTTTCTTTTCCCCTCCTTCAGAAATGAAATTATTCCCTTCCTCTGCATTTTGCAATTTTCCTTTTCCATATTTAACATCACATTTTTCTTCCTGAGACTGCTCTTCTTTTAATTCATCTTCAGCAGCATCGGTTTCTTCTATAGGGTTTTCAGTTTTATTAAGAATATAATTTTCATATTAGGAATATAATTTTCAATTAAATTATATTCCTATATTCAACCTATATTCTGTATTAATATCCAAACAATTATCTAACTCATTTTCTTGACCTACATTTATATACATTGCATTTTCTACCATCATAGATATGCTCTTCTTGTTTATAATAATTTCCATTTGCAAAAGCAAATTCATTTCCTGTAACAGCATTTTCTTTAATTTTTTCTTGAGGTACAACATAAATATTTGATTTAATTTCACAGTTATCAATTCATATGGAACCTTTAAAATAACTGATAGGTTTTATTTTTTTATTACCAAAGCCTACTAGAACCAAATCAGAAGAATTAATAAAAATTATTTTATAAATATTTTTCAATACTATATTTAAGTAACTTCCTGTATCAATGAGAGCTTTCACTCCTACATTATCTATCAACACAGTTTTATGTTTATTATTGAACTGCTTTTTTTACAAATATATGATTCACTTTGCAAAGGTCCTTTATATTTATCATATATGTTATGCATTCTGAAGCTACGTGTCCAAATAAATTACAACAAAAGCATTTTTCCCCCCCCCCTTGCTCTTATTTTTGTAGAAAATCTCCATGTGACCAAGATTTTCACAGTTATAGCAATGAATATTTGTTTTTATTTTACTTTCAAAATGGTCACCTTTGGTTTTAGAATTAGGCTTAACGGATTTATTTTCATTGTTATCTAATTTAATTTTTTCATATATCATAGGTTTTTCCTGAAATTTACAACTCATTTTGAAACAAAATAAATTTTATGATACATTAATACATATACAACTTCTTATGGCATCCTACATTTTACTAAAAAAAAATGGGTAGTATTCCATCATTTCAATAGTGCCATAAACAGCCCATGAGAAAAATATTAGATTATGTATTTAGAATCCCTCATATATATATACACACAAACACACACTATAGCTACAGAAACCCTTAACTGGCCTTTGTTTTCATAACCATTGGCACTGAAATATACAGTCAAAAGTCGTTAATCCGGACTCGTCAGGACTTCGGCGATTCCAGATTATCGATTTTTCCGGATTATAGATCATCAATTTAAATCTGGTAAGATGGCATGCAGAAATTATAAAATTAAAAATATGAAACCGTAATTTATGAAATAAAGAACAATTATGATCTAAAGGGTATCAAAATTTACAAAAAAAAAAAAAAAAAAAAAAAAAAAAAAAGCTTAATATTTATTTGTTTACTTTATTAAACATTTCTTTCAATGTAAGTTGTTTAAGTTGCTTCGTTTTTTATGTAATAATACATTCTCTTTAATTCTATAAACAGACGTAATTTCTTGTTCAGTTACAAAGTTCCACTGTTCAAGTTCTATAATTGCTGTGTCTACCGACTAATTTGTCAATTGAAATTTTTTCATTTTCAATAAATAACCTCTGTTACTTTCTTTGCTATCAGAAGTGAATTATAATGACGAGGAATTTGATTTAAATCATATCAAAGACGGAGTACATTGAGATGAAATACTACATTTAGTAAGGAATAATAAGCCAAATAAAATAAAAACATCTGCCCTGAAGATAAGGATAGTGCCGACAGATCAACTTCCAATTCATTGCGCACCGCAGCGTTAAAGATAAACAAAGTTTAGATAAACAAACGTTAAAGTTTAGATAAACAAAGGATATGCCTTTATCCATTTTTTGCAGCAATTCCACTTTTTCTTTAATGAACTTCGAAATATACTTTCGCTTTGTAGACCCTTTACATATTAATAAATATATATCAGAAATTCTATTTGACATAATCGAAAGTTCAAGCTTACTTTTATAAATTGCTCTAACAGTCTGCAAAAAATAATAAGCCGGATCCAATTCGAAGATTAAGGAACAACGCAATCTGTAACATTAACTGAAATAGATAATTTTAGCTTAGCTTATACTGTCTGTTATACATTAAACGCGCACTCGTAAACGTATTTTGCGCACATGCACAAGCATATTTGCAGCCGTAAAGGTCTTACGTGCAGAAAGTTTGTAGCTTTGAAGTCTGGATTATAGATCATTCTGGATTATGGGTGTCCGAATTAACGACTTTTGACTGTACAACCAGTTACAAAAATGTTTTAAGTGATGCAAATATTCCTGTTTTGGCACATATGTGTGCTGTAAGAAGATGAACAAGTTTGCTCTCTTTAATGTGGTTCACAACTTAGCTAAACTAGCATTAACATTTCTATCAACTATTTTAACTGTTAGAATTTTTTTTTTTTTTTTTTAATTAGAAAGAGTTAAGATAATTTGAGATGTTCTAATATAATTTGCTTAAGAAAATTGGTTTTTTCTGTTTTAATGAATAGAAAAAACATATGATTTAATATCAGAGAGCAAATAAATGTTTTCTCAAAATGTTAAACTAAAATTCACATTAAAGAAGAAGGAAGAAGGAGAACAGAGTTTATTTATGAATTATTGAGATCTATCTAAATAAATTTAACAAAATGCATGAGTAATTCTTTCAGTAAATAGTTAGGAACATGACAACAAAATAGATATACTTGAAGATTATTTTGTGTTTGTGTGTCTAGATCAGTTACGTCTAACTGGTGTTCCATACCTAGGTTAACAAAATTTTTGTATTATGGATAGAATTACTGAACTTTTATGGATTTTTTTTTTTTTTAAACATTTTATTCATGAGACTTGCTTAATACTAGACTTAGTTGAGATTAATACTGCAACAATCTTGAAATTTGGTTTTCTCTTCCAGAATATATTTCTAAGTATTTGTGAAATATAACATATTCTGCATCCCATGGTCTCCTGGCACTAATTGGCCTTCTAGGGGAAAGAAATATGCAACTGTTGGTCTAGATCAGTGCTTTAACTCTTTTTAAAAGAATGGTTTTCTTCAATAACCTCCTTACCTTTTTCTTTACAATATAAAGTGTATCATATAATCATAATACAAATAATTGCACATAAGTAACTTAAACAAAGCAATAAGACTAAGAATATGAACAAAAGTTTTGGAAAAGAAATGGTTTATGAAGTTGATGTCTTATTTGCTACTTTTAATTTTACAAATATGAATAGGTTTTCAGCAACAGAATTACAGATTCTAATTGGCAAAAATTCAATTTTAATTAATGTGTTGGCTGCACTTGATATATTGATGTAATGTTTTTAATGTTTGCCATAAAGCTGTTTCTTCTTAATTCTTAATCACCTCATTCAAAAATATTCAGCTTGTTTCTTGTAGTAGGTTATAGCCTTGACTACAGCCTCCTTTTATTAGATAAGAAGATAGAAAAGTCAGTAATGTTGTTCAGTAACAACATTTATTTTTGGATATTTTTCTCTAATTTAATTCTTAATTCTCTAATGTTGACTTCTAAATTACAAAACTTAAGGGACTTGTGTGCTTTGAACAGGACTTGTGCTTAGACATCTCCTTCAATGCAATCAATTCTTCTTGCATAAAAATATCAAGATCAAATATATTGCAGTTCAGTAGTCGTATGAGCCATGCTGTCAGGTTCAAATTTTCAATGTCTTGGAAACTATCATTAAAATTTTTCATTCAAATTTTGTAGATGGTATATTATAATATAAATTCTGAAAAAATTTTTTCTTCTTAATTTTTTTGGGGGGGTGTATTTTCTTGCATTTTTGCATATTACTTTTTTTATATTGTATAAAAAATTTATATACTTGAAAAATCTCTCACTGATTTTGAAAATATATTAAATAATTTTTCTTGTCGTCTTTTCCCTTGTATTAATTTTACATGATTTCTTCCTTGCTACATGATATAGTTTTATATCAATAAACAATTATGTATCAGCTTAAAATACTACTTTTTTGTTGTAATAAATAGGATGTTCGTTACACTGATCTATTGGCTGTGCATATTTAGCTATTTGTTCCTTGATTACCATTGACCACTTTTAAAATTTCATTAATTTCATGGGCTCAATTTGGAACCCCTGATAAAGATGATAGCATATTCAGAGGTAAAAGTACTCACTACATAAAAATTTCTTATTATTTAAACAAGTGAGAAATATAAACTTTTTTAAAAACAGAAAAATCATCTATGAGGAGGTAGCTGAGGTAATCCTGATCTTTTACATAAGATGATAGACACTAGCATTATTAATGTAAATATTGTCATTGAAATTCTTCACAGTTTAATTTTTACTGCTATAAATAAAAAATTGCATTAAATGTTGCTCGTTTTAATTATGTAAAATATTCTATTTCAGATCTACCTCTTTAGTGTAAGCATGGCATTGTTCTTGTATATTGTAAGGTAATTCATGTTTTATTTCTTCATTTTTGTGCTTGTATTGAAATTGTTTTTTATTTTTATTTTTATTTATTTATTTATTTATTTTTTAACTATCATTATTGCAATGTTTTAAATTTAAATGCATTCTTACTAGCTAAATGTTGTAGAAATGTAAAAATATAATGTTTATATTTTGAGAGGCAATGCGGATTTCAGGAGTTGGCGGATTTTCGGTATTTGACTGTATTTAAAAACAAGATATCTTTAGAACTCCTGATAGCATGTTAAGTGTTGCCATAAATTTGTTTATATATAACTTCACTTGTAACATCAATTAAATTTAGAATCGCAGCAGCTGACTCATTTTGAATAACGGGAATACTCATAAATCTTTTAAGTTGAGCATACACTTGTTCTCTAGGGTTTGCGTATCTTTCTTCAAGGAGAGACCATGTTAACTTATAATTATTATCCGTTATAGCTATCATTTGGATAATTCTAAAAGCATCTCCTTTAAGCACTGATTTCAAATACTGCAATTTTACAGCATCTGATAAATTTGGGTTTTGATCAATACTTGCTTTAAAAATGTCCTTAAAGGAAAGCCAAGAATGCATTTCTCCTGAAAATGTCAATAACGAAATCTTAGGTAAACACACAACAGTATTTTCAGAAATTACTGTATTTTCTACTTTATTTTCTCTAACAACTTTCGACAATCTATTATTTATTTCAAATTCTGTATCAATAATACTACTATTGATTTCATCTTGCTCACTGAAGATTTTTTTTTAATATATTTTCATCACCACTTAAATTGATAATGGAATCAAAAATATTACCAAATTCATTTTGCAAATTGTTAAATTTAGTTTTTAACAATTCTAAATCACTAACACTTAAATCTGGCTCGCAAAGTTTCTTTTGCAACTTTGATAAGATAGTTTTTTGAGTTCTCTTTTTAGGGAGAACATCTTTTAATTTCGTAGCCATTTTAGCTACACTTATCAATAATAACAAATTGACACACAAACTTAATTCAGAATTTACTAAATGCAACAGTTAATAATGAATAGAGGTTCAAGGGTTTTTTACTTACCCCTTTCTTTCAGCAACTGGCTGTAATCCACAAACACAAATTCCATAGAAACAAAATGGCAAAATAACAGTTTTACACTAGATTATTTACTTAGCCGATATTGCTCGGGCTCTACAGGACCACTCAAAGTTGTCCGGCTAAATTCTAAATGGACTGTAACTCTTAATTAAACTAATTAAAAAACTAATCTGTAATATATCGTTATCTTTATTTTACTAATTTCAGACACTCAGGCTTCCACACTCATATTCTGCTTCGCCATTGAAGCCAACTCCAAAGTAATTAATATTCTTTTTGTAAACAGTAACGATGACAGCACCATCTGGCTTCGAAGGGACTTAACAAGGACTTGTCAATTCCGAATTTGGTATTTTCATCGATATTGGATCAACAGCTTAAGTCCAGTAAAATTACTTCGAAATTATAAAAATTAAAAATGTGAATTGGGGATTTTTGAAATAATGAAGCATTTCTGACCATAAGAGAATAAAAAATTTACAAAATAAAATATTGAGTTCAATATTTATTTGTTGGCTTTTATTAAACATTTCTTTCAATGAAATTTGTTAAATTTGTGTCATTCTTTTAGTGACAAAAACTGCCTCTATAATTCCATGGATAGCCATGATTTTGTATTCTCTTACAAAGTTCCATTGTTCGTCCTGTAATTGCCACATTGAGAATTCCCACTGAATTGTCAGTCAAATTTTTTTAATTCTCAGCAACCTCTCAGTCACTTTTGTCATTACTGGTAGTGATATTTTTTTGGATTTAGAACCATACAGATTTCACATTCTTATTAGTTGACTGATGATTGGGGCATTGTCATTGCTAAAAAAAATCTTCTGTTATGTCATCTTCATTCATTACTACTACTCCACAAATTTCATCAGTTGGATAATTTTACTTTTTGTTTGTGATATCTGAAATTTTCACATTCATGGCTATCATAAAATTTAGCTAGCATTTGTTATACACTATTCAGGATGTATCTTGAGATTGGCAACCAAATGTATGTTGTTCTATTAAATTTTGTCTTGCTTTTATTACATGCTGATGAAGTTAAGCCTGAATTATATTAGTGTATTTTTTATACTTAAGACGTTTTCCAAACATGCTTAAGGCTTATTCGAGTCCTGATTAAATACATTTCCACATATACTTAAAGTTTATCATCCAGGGTTGGCTCTAGATACCTTGCAGCTCAATATAGTCTCTGTGTGTCTGAAATTATGCTGCCAAAAACCTCCCTAAGTTCTAAAATATTTTTAACCTTTAAATGTTGCATCCCAATGCCTTCTCTAGATCCTAAAGGTTTTGCCATCCCTTAATTTTTTGCTCAGTGCCTTCTCTAGATCCTAAAGGTTTTGCCATCCCTTAATTTTTTGCTCAGTGCCTTCTCTAGATCCTAAAGGTTTTGCCATCCCTTAATTTTTTGCTCAGTGCTTCTCTAAATTCTAAAACTTTCGCCTTCCCTAAATTCTGCCGCCGTATGCAGCCACATCAGCTCTGACACTTATCCTGGGCTTAACAGAGTAACATATCAGTTATTCTCAATGCAAACAGCACTAAATGTAATCTTTTGGTCTATGAGTATCATTACATTTCTTGCATATGTATTATTATATATTTCTTGCATATGTGTTGATGAGGAGAAATTTAACAAAAATTTCTCCTCATCAACACATTAGCACTTCGCAGAAGACTTAGCTAAAGTGTAAAATCATCACGGTGCATAATGTTAATATAAGAGGTTATCAGGCTTTTTGGTATTCAGTTACTAATATTTACAAAAAAAAAAAAGTTGTGTAGACATCACTGCATGAGTTATTTCTCAAGCAGTTGTGCATTGATCCATGTGGTGATAAAAGCAAAAAATAATAATTAATGATTTTTCCTGGTTGGTAACAAAGTGAAATTAAGAATTGGAACTATCACCATGTTTTATTATGAAAAAAATATAAAATCTGCAGGCATAAAGCGTAAAAAAAGATTCTAAAAAATTGCTGGTGAATATGAGATTCAGATTAGATTATTCCGGGTATTGGATTTCGAACTTCATACTGTGTGCAGTTTTTCTGTTTGTGTTTTGGTAAGCAGATTCAGGAAACAAGTTGTATTTTATTTTGCAATATTGTAAAGACTCAGGTAAATGCATTAATCATTCATGTGCAGCAAATATTATCATAATAAAACTTATTTGCAATACCTGCTTCTTACTGTGAACATGTTTAGTACATACAATGTGTATTCTCTTAATGTAAGGCACATATAACATGATCCTGTAGTTTTGAAATGAGACTCATGTAGAATAAACTGATTTCCACTATAAATCTCATATATATGATCTTAATATACTGGTAATGTTCTATATGAGAGATAATGTCTAGCGAGCAATTTGATAAAAGTAAGCTTGAACTTTCGATTATGTCAAAAAGAACTTCCGATTCTGGAGCTGCCAAAGGATCTACAAAGCGAAAGCATGTTTCGATGACCATCGAATTCGAAACAATAAGCGGAATTGCTGCAAAAAATGGATAAAGGCATATCCTTTGTTTCTCTAACTATTCCAAAATCTGTTTATCAATTTCACACTGCTCTGCAGGGGGGGGGAACATCGCGGCACGCTATGAACTGGAAGTTAATCTGTCAGCACTACCCTCTTCTTCAGGGCAGATATTTTTATTTTATTCAGCTTATAATTCCTTACTATTTCATCTCGATGTACTTCATCTTTGATATGATTTAAATCAAATTCCTCGTCATTATAAATATCACGAGTACACATCAAATAGTTTTCTGGTTGCAATTTTCTAATTTCGACTATGCGTAATGTATGCTTTACGCATGTGCGCATTGAAAGAAATATTTAATAAAGTAAACAAATAAATATTAAGCTTTTTTTTGTAAATTTTGATACTCTTTAGATCATAATTGCTCTTTATTTCATAATTATGGTTTCATATTTTTAATTTTATAATTTCTGCATGCCATCTTACCAGATTTAAACTGATGATCTATAATCCGGAAAAACCGATAATCCAGAATTGCCAAAGTCCCGACGAGTCCGGATTAAAGACTTTTGACTATATAAAAACAACAATTTTAGCTTTAAAAAAAATTCTCATCATCAGTAAAATGAGATATTTAGAAACTGTTATCAGAGGGAGGCTGTTAAGTAATAATGAAATTTCGGTGATGGATTGAGCATGTAGTACAAACTAAATACAAATTTTTGTTAATGGAAGCTAGAGCAAGAATGTAATCAATCTTATGATATTACAAATACCTATGCCTGTAGTCTACTCTTTTCATGTTTCATATAATATTATTATATCGTACTTGTAAATTACCAATTTGGAGCTGTTGCTAGTTCTGTTGGAGAAAATGGTTCTTTATTATCACAATCATCTTGGCACAGTTTGATGAATTTTATGAAAGAAAAAGAACAATTACTTTTATAGTAAAAAATTACATATTACATACATATTCTGCATTTCAACTATATATTTATTTCAAAAGGCAATCAGTAAACCTAGTTACAAATGGATTTTTCTCTTTGTTCTGGTAAAACTTTTATCGCTATCGCTTTGAGAAAGAATATGAAGTATTGTTCCTTTAGCAAATTTGGACAAAAAATTTATTCCTGTAGAAATTTAACCTTTCTTTCTTTACAGGAAAATCCTTGTAGCACAAATTTTTAAATCGAGTTAAGAAAAAGAATAATCGTAATTTGGTACTGTTCTGTTATCAGGAGTGGATCCAGAAATGTATGTATGTATGCTTGTATGGATGGATGTGCTCATGTACGCATGTGTATATGTAAGCACATTTGTGTCTGTATATTATATACACATATATGCACATACATACATACGTGCATACATTCATACATTTCTAAATACGGCTCCAATAACAAAACATTACCCATAATTTTTCTGTAAAAGCTTTTGGAACTTGGAATACAACGAAAAGAATACATATGAAAATATCGATGTTGGAAACTGAATATTTGTAATGCACATGGTTGCCTGAATAATTGTTATGCATGTGATTTCCAGATTATGGTACATTCTGAAACTTTGGGGATTACCACTAAGGTGGTTGCGATATTATGCAAGTGCGAAGAAAATACTTATCTTTCAGATTATAACAATATGTTTTTATCACTGAAGCAAACTGAAATTGAAAATAGTATGGGTACATCTTAATATTTTTATGTTAGGATTATTAAATTGATATATTTCTGCTTTTAGTATGTGGTAAAAATATTTAAAGAAAATTTTAACGAAGACTAATCTTTGAAGAATGAATATTTTGAATAAGTCTTACCATACAAAATGCAATAAATGAGAAAAATATGTTTTTCAAAAAAGATTTTCTTAAGGTGGGGGGTTGAAAATAGAAATAATGTAAGTATATTAAATTACTTCTGATAGCTATGTAAAGTATTTAACTTTTTCTTTTCAGACACCACGGGTTTTCCAAAGACTTTGTAAGTGTAGGATTCAAGTAAGTACTTTTGCATTGCTTCCATCTTTCTTTTTATGGTCCCCCCTGGGATATACATGTACAATCAGATATAACTAATTGAGGCATATCAAGAATGAGGTATTTTAAACCCAATTGCATTCTTGCTGTAATTTTTAAAAGTTCAATTCTAGATTAGTAAACAATAAAATAAACAATCAACTTTAATGCTATAAATGTATTACTTGAATAAGAAACACTAGAGAAGTATGTCTTTAATGATGAATTGTATGAGGAACAGTAGAAAAGTATGTCTTTAATGATAATTGAAATTTAACATTAATGTTTTTTTTACTTTCTTTTCTTCCTTTTTTCCTGTGGTATTATATGTTATATTTGTTTTTAAGTGTAATTTTAAAAAATGTACAATATTTAAGCATTGATATTATTTTAATATCTATTATGAACTTACATTGTCTGTCATTATGTTGCACTTCTGACATTCTTTTTAAAATACATTTTGATTTTTGCATGTTAAGAAATGCATTTAAGAACTTGAAACTGTTAAGCCTAATAACTTGGAAGGTATGTGTCCAATAATTCTTGCCATTGAAAGCTGTTTTAGCTATATAAATTTAAGTGTATATATTTGTGTGTAAAGATCATTTGCCTATATTATGGTCATTGCCTGTACTATTCATAAATGGATTAAAGGAACTTCCATTCATTTTGAAGAAACACATAATTGTCATTTCAAGCAGCAAACATGCATGCATTTATTTTATAATCATTTTTCTTTTGAATTATCCCCTGAAGAATATGCTCTTTTGAAGCCTTTATTTGCAAAATCTCTTTTTTATTTTTTGTTGAAACTTATTTCTTTTGATTGATACTTGAGTGTGAGTAAAAAATCAACTGATTACTTTGACAGTAGTTTAGCTCAATTGTCTTTGTTCAAGAAGTATTTTCATAACTGGTACTTGCATTTTCTGACATTGGAAATTAGGAGTCCAATTTAAAATTTGTCATCTAATTTTTTTCATTTGATTTTTCTTTGCATTTTTTAACAAAATATTTTTGAAGATTTCATTCTTGTAGTCTTCAGTATTATTATGGTGTTCAGCATTATTAATTTTAATTTCTTCCAATTTTCATATTTGTCACCATTTTGAAATTAATTAATGCTTTCTTTCAAATAGGGTTTTAACCATTTTAATGAATGTCTTTTTCAAAACCATAATAAAAGAGGGGAAATTCTGTTTTACTATTCATTTCGTTCATTTTATCTGTAAAGAATTGCACAGCCTGAAAAAATTTACTTTTCAACTAATTTCATTAGATGTCTAGAATTACGTCTAAACATTTTCTTCCTGTGTATACAGAATGTTCTTAAAAAATATTTTGTTATGCAAAGTTTTGAAATGAAACGTTTTTATTTCTGTATTTGGTACCTGGATCAAAAAGAAGTGTTTGCAGGTAAAAATTCTAACTCATTAATTGGCAAGCAAACTAAATATTGATAGTAACTAAAATAACTTTGTAAACTTTATAGGAAGTAAAATACTTCATACTTAAATTTTAATTTTAGATATCGTCCATTCTTTGTTGAAAACTGTACTTAAGATGTACTGTGAATCAAAATATCAAGGTTGATAACATTTCCAAATTACAACATTTTTTTATTTATTTTTTTTTTATTTTTGGCATGTTTGAGCAGCATAACACTGTAATGCAGTTCTCTGATGTGTAGAAAATGTTACATGATTTTCATACTGAAGTATCCATTCAGTGTGATTTTTTTTTATCATCATTAGAAATGTTTATTGACAGATCCTCAAGACAACTCCAGTATTTCCATTGATGTCCATTCATCCCTATTTAGAATTGAGCTTTAGTCATGCCATATTAGTAAAATTTTAAAACTGAAAGATTACTGTAGAGAATTGTCCATAAATGATAGTATAACTCATAGAGGCTGACTATATAAGATCGAACATAACTTTATCTCGTGATAACTGTATACAAGCAACTATTCTAAGAAATTTTCAATGCAAAACTTTTATCAAATGAAATTTGGGAAATATAATGATTTGCTGTCGATCTGAGGGAATAAAACTAGCAATAGTATTAAAGCAGAATTGTGAAAAATATTTTTAGGTGTGCAAATGGCATAATTTAGAATGCAGTTTTAACATTTTAAAAACAATTTTATTTTGTTGTTTTAACAACAGCAATTAGCTACCATTATTCCTATTGAAAATAACATTGGGAACACTTTTCATCACAGTGAAGTGTTTAAAAGAATCGAAGCGATAAAAAAATTACATTTTGAGTTTTGTGAATCACATACCTTTAAATTTTACATTTTTTTTTTGAAGTTGTAAAAATATAAAATAGCCAATAAAATGCATTTTGTGATCTATTTAGTGTCTTAATTAATCATAAAATATGAAAAGTAAACTATCCCTCCTTATATTATAGTTTGTTCTGTAAGATATATCATCACACCTGAATAGTTGCCACAATTAACCAGTTAATCTGCTTAACTAGATTTATTGTAGCTTCTTTTTCTGACTTTCATAACTACTTAAATACCATTTATTGTTTAAGTACTATATATTATGGTATATAAATGGAGAATTTTTTTTTTTTTTTTTTTTTTTCCTTCAAAAATTTTCCCAAAATTTAAAACCCGTATGTAAGCTGAAATAAGGGGGGGGAAACCCACTTGTAATCTTTAAACATGTCACCATGAGGTGAAAATGTTGCCAAGCAGGTAAAACAAATGGAATAGTTTCAATCAAATTTCAGTAAAGTAAAATGGCAGATGCCAACAATAATAGTTTTAACTCTTGTAACCCTATCTGAAGTAGCACATTAATTGTCCATTCATTTTTGTTTTGTATATGATCTGCGGTATCTGAGCTAATCTTGTTTTCTGCACCATTTTTGTCTGAAAGTTGAACGAGAAGAGAAATTTCAAATTACATGTTTGCTTTTGCCGAAAATTCAAATAGTGGTACAGCTGCTCGACATTTCTCCATGAATGAAAAACTTGTCCAAGAGTGGACAAAGCTGGGTGCAGATCTTGCCAACAGAACTTTTGTTTAGGCGATGATGAAACAAATCAGCATTTCAAACAATTTTGAAAATAAAGCAACCTATTTTGATGAAATGAATAACTATTTCATTTTTTTTTTCATTAATTTAAGAAATATAAACTCAAGAAATAAAAAGTGCAATATTTAGTGATTTATTTCTTGGCTCAACTAATGGAAAAATACCTACGTTTTTTGAAAGATTAGCAGATCAGTATATAAGCTGATCCTCATAATTTAACTGTAGAATAAGTTAAAAATCCTCACCTTATACATGGAAATACAAGATAAATAAAATTTAGAAATAGAAAATTACCTGTTTTTGCATCATAAATGTATATTATTGCTGTAATGTATGGATAAATACATGCTTAATTTTTCATTCTTGCTTAAAAACGTTGTTTTTCTTAACAAATTTGATACAAATATGCCTGAAATCCCAATCTGCCGACCTAGTCTTAATTACGAAGTCCTTTTTTTTTTTTTTTTTAAACTATAGTCTTTAATTTAAATGATTTTGTAAGCTTTTTATGTTTTGGGGGGTCTGTAACTGCCACTGCATGTGCTCATATTTGCCCATGGTTCTTGTGATAATCTCTATGTAGTTTTAATACTGTTTTTAGAAATATGAGAGAAATATACAGATGTAGGCATTTATAGGATTTAATTAGTTAAAAAGGTTAATGTAAATCATTATTAATGGCCATACCTTGAAGTTCATTTATAAATTGCTCATATTCATATTTTCAGGAAATTATTTGGCCTTTGTTGTACCCCAAATACTAATAGGATGAGCACCATCATTTTAGCTCTAAGATGGAATTCCTGATTAGTTTCATTATCATTATCATGAAAACATTTCTCTTATACTGTGCTTGAATGTTTTTCAAAAAAGGGTAGGCTCTGGAATTCTAACTATATCAGTTTTATCTACCCAAGTCTCTAACTTCTTATAATTCATATTAGTTATGGAGTTGAGTTTCTTCCATTTCATTATTTATTCAAGAGTTATGCTTAAAACAGTTCTTTATTTGCTATTCTGAGATGTAGTTCCAGTACATTTATTCAATAAATGCAGAACATAAAAAATTTTACTTTTTCCAATTAATTCATTCACACTTGCTTTTATATTTTCCTGATCATAAACAATTTTTTTTGTCTCCAGGCATTATTAGCTTTAAATGTCTGGAATCAATTTTTCACATGCTTGAGATACTTTTAGGGAAGACATTTATGGTATGCACTGTGCAGTTGTCATCAAAATCTATTCATTAAAACTTAAAAGATCATTTGTGTTTTTAATTTAAGTTCCTAATTTAGCAACTTCATTTTGATTTAAAAAATGTTCATTCTGTAATATTCCAATCATGTTAAACAATTTGCTGATTATAATAAATGAAAAATTCTTTATCTTTTTTGTATACAAATGGGTAGGGCTTTGATATTTCAATCGCAATGTCTGAGCAATAAAGGCTATCAAAATATTTTTTTAATGTATTTTAATGTTGTTTCCAGTAACTGATATAATATTTTGACACTTCTCTCTCTCTTCCCTTTTTTTTCTTAAAGGTCTGACATTTTTAGAAATTTCTCCTTATCATTTTTAGCTTTCTATGTGATATTTTAGCTTTTCTTTATTTGGTAATCTTTTTATAATATGTATATATGTTATGCTGCCTATTAATATAATCTAAAATAGTCAAAATAAATATCTTTTATACACTTTGTATTAATTTACTATGAAATCAATAAATATTTTGTTTTACTCATACAAAATTTTATTGGATGATTAGAGAATTTGCTATTTATGTAAATTTGTATCTCATTTTATATTCATTCATATTCTACCAAGTAAATCTGATTATTATTTTTAATAATTTATGAATTAAAAATCTTGCTTTGTTCATGAATTTTTAATATTTGCAAAGTTATTTGTCATTATAA